TCCGTGCACGAAGTTACCAGGTTGCAATGGCCAACACCTGTGCCTACCTGCTCCTTGGCTTTCTCAGAGTCCGTCCTTTATGTAACAGTCCCGGTTTCCTATTGGCCATCCCAAGGAATCTCCTCACCACCCAGACAGGACCGCTAAAATCAGCGGGGTGCACCTATCCTGCCCAGGGCAGCGAAGGGGACTCCCCAGAAGGTGATAATGATCCCGGACGAGCCCCCACATTGTTGGAAATATCCAAATAATTTATCAGGACAGCATCTCTGATAAAGCAGATTTTATTCGCAATTGCAGTGGCGGGCCTCCTGCAAGCAGGAGTGCGCTCAGAAAGCAGCATAACATCTCTTATGTCCTGTTACTCAACACTTATCTCTTTCTCCTCTGCTTCCTCATTGCCTGAGTACTTCAGGTTCACAATATTCCTGACGCTCAACTAAACACACAGATACTGGCTAAACAAAACTTTTTGCTAGCTAAGCATATATCGCTATTTAGTTAACTTCTCACACTTGCTCATTCAACACTCGGTCATTGTTTCCGGACATCTGCTTGTCCTTGCATAGAGATAAGCTTGGGAGGAGGATAGGGGGGAGTATCCTGATGCCTGCTTGTTGCATCCCAACCTACCCACAGAGCAAGGCAATCTAGCCTTGTGTAGAGGCCTTGGCTTCTTTGATGTTTGTTAAAGTCTGTTTTTCTTTTGCTGAGAGTCTCTTATCCAAACAAAATAGCCCTACAATATGCTTTCTAGTCCATAACACTATACCTATATTATTTGGAACATTTAAAAATTATTGCAGTTTTGCAAGCAAGAATTAATCACACAATTCAGCAACTATACTTCTAAAGTATGTTACTAACATATATGGTATTTCTACTTTTTTTCATCAGCTATTTCTAAGGACAAGTTCCAAAATACAAACAGATTGTGCTCTACTTCTTCAGATCAATTCCCCCTTTTTAATATCTAATGCAGAAACGACATTCCATTCCTACAGGTGCAAAAAACAGTCCTAGAAGGAAAGCTAGCAGAAGCATAGAGATTGTTACAGAACAAAACCAATACAGCATACAGGAAGTTCTTCTGTTAGCAGCCTAGGCCTGTTAGCTAATGAACTGTTGAAATTTGCAATCAGCACAGAAGTAAAGGCAGATAGGAGGGTCTTCACAGGAGGCCAAGAATGCAAGCGCTATTGAATGCCTACAGTCAGGACAACAGCCAAATGAGATGATGAGATGCCATCTACAGAGAAGAAAAATACACTTGATATCAAAAATACAGTCTGAGATAAGTATTAATTATTGATCTAAAATAGTGCTAATCTATTTTCCAATCCTCTTGCCATGGGCAGGGACACCTTCCACTAAATCACGTTGTCCCAAACCCTATCCTTGTGTGACCATCAATGGTTCCAGGGAAGGGGCATGTACAACTCTCTGGGTTACTTGCATCAGTATCTAAACACTCCCATAGAAAGAAAATTCTTCCTAATATCTAATCTAAATTGACTCTCTTTTAATTTCTTGTCCTGTCATTACTCCATCCCTTGATAGAGTCCCTCCCTCATTTTTCTGCAGTGCCGTCTCCAGGCTGAACAACCCCCTCTCCTTGTCTTTGTTATACTGCCCTATTGGTGAGAAGCTGAAGTCACCTAAAGCAGGTTCTCTACTGTAGGTTACACAGGGAAGGGTCCAGGTAGATTTTGAGTATCTCTAGAGACGACACAACCTCAATAGAAAATAAATAAATTAAAAAAGATCAGTCTTAAAATAGTTTTTTGTGATTTTAGTTGCGTGCTGTTGCATCTCTCTGCTATGCTTTAAGTGATCAACTGTAAGAAAAAGCATAGGAAAAACAAAACCAGTGTTTTTTTCTCCTGCAAACATTAAGCGAGTTTCAGAACTGACAGCCTTTGGACACTGCCAGTGTTTGCCTCCTGGAACTGAGATGTGAGGGATCTCTGTCTGTTGTGGCATTTTCAGACAGATGAGCTTCCTAACCCACTGTGCATGGCACCAGTGCTTACATCGCCCAAGTCGTGGCAACAGAAGGATCAATGCAGTTCAGGCACTCACAGTAACACAATAAACCTTGCAATCTCTGGCACAAAGTACCATTGCTTTACTTTGGCACGGGAAAGGATTGTAATGTATCATACTGGACTGGATGCTGTGGCTCAGAGCATCGCAGGGGCAGGAGAAACAACTAAGGAAGAAACGGGCAGGCCAGAGGTCTTCATTTAAACAGTCAAGCTGCAGCAGAAGCGTATCCATTAAGTACATGACGGGCTGCAAAGATGCAAAATGGAACTAACTGGCAGACAAGAGGCAAGCTGTTAAGCACACTAGTGCCTACCCACACAACCAGAATCCTAACCTCGTTTCTCCAGGCAATGTCCCTTTCTTCTGGTGAACACCAGCTCCGGTTTACTCTGTGCTAAGAAGTGCCTCCTGGAGCTCAGCTAAAGGTTTACTTACTGTTCCCTCATAGCTAATGAGAAGCAATGCAGACTTCTCACTTTGTGTGTCACTAAAACACAAAGACTGTGGCAGCAGTTCACAGGTGGCAGCTCAATATAATCAAAATACAACTTTTCTTTCTTAAGATACCATTTTATAGTTTAATGCCTACGCAAGTGGTGCTCCTTCAAGCAACTGAGGAAAAAGGCACTCTTTCTATCCTTAAGAAAAGTTACATACGTTGAACTTCTATATTCTTAACTTACATAGTAATGGTAAATTGATTATTTTGAAAAGAATACTGATAAGTCATAGAATCATAGAATCACTCAGGTTGGAAAAGACCTTAAAGATCATGGAGTCCAACCACAAGCTAACCATCCTACCCTGACTCTAACAACCCTCCTAAATCATGTCCCTGAGCACCACATCCAAACGGCTTTTAAACACATCCAGGGATGGTGACTCAACCACCTCCCTGGGGAGCCAATTCCAGTGCTTAACAACCCTTTGTGTAAAGAAGTGTTTCCTGATATCCAACCTAAACTTACTCTGGTGCAACTTGAGGCTGTTTCCCCTCATCCTGTTGCCAGTGAGAAGAGACCAGCCCCACTCTCTCTGTAGGCACCTTTCAGATACTGGAAGAGAGCAGTAAGGTCTCCCCTCAGCCTCCTTTTCCCCAGACTGAACAGCCCCAGTTCCTTCAGTCTCTCCTCATAGGCCATATTCTCCAAGCCCCTCATCAGCCTTGTTGCCCTTCTTTGGACCTGCTCCAGCACCTCAATGTCCTTTCTGTACTGAGGTGCCCAAAACTGAACACAGTACCCAAGGTGAGGCATCACCAATGTCCAGGATGACTTCCCTAGTCCTGCTCATCACACCATTCCTGATACAAGGCAGGATGCTGTTGGGTTTCTTGGCCACCTGGGCACACTGCTGGCTCATATTCAGCCCACTGTCCATCAGTACACCAAGGTCCCTTTCTGTCAGGTTTCCAGCCACTCCTCCCCAAGCCTGTAGGGTTGCCCAGGGTTGTTGTGACCAAAGTGCAGGACCCAACACTTGGCCCTACTGAAACTCATAGTTACCCTTGGCTCAACCCATAGTGCTGGCATTAAGTCGTAAAGTTAAAAAATAAATAAATAAATAAAAATTATTTGTGCAATTTCACCATTAAGACACAAAATTTTTAAAGACAGAACACAGTTGTACAATGTCAAAGTCTGCCACAGGAGACAGAGCTGATAAACGCATCGAGAAGACAGCCACAAGTGCCCTCTGTCATAGTTACAGCAGCAAGTTATACTATAGCTGTTGAAGTAACATACAGAGTTCATTAGAGAGTTGTCACTAAACTGTACAAGTCACTTGAAAGTCTTATATACAAAAGAAACTGAGGTCTGAAAGTAAATTTCACTAGCAAATAACAGTGAAATTCTGTGTCCAAGAATGCACGTATGAACTATTCTTATCCTTCAATTATTGAGGTGTTAGAGTCTGAACAGTACGAACAGCAGTCACCTGACTAGCTACTTTGACTTGCTTTCTGTTGAGAGTAAGAATTACATTTCAAAGGCCTTTGGTTTACTGGCCAGCACTTACAGCATCTTCAGATTGCATATTCAAAGGAAAGATGTACAGGAACATGAAGCCAGACCACGCAAGACTTTGTTCTGTTTCTAAACAAGCCAAAAGTGAGGACAAGACAATTATTTTAACAAGACTAAGATTTAATTTTTAAAATTTGACATTCAATACAAATGTCAGGATAACACAAATACACCTGAAATATGCCAGTGTCTGAACTTTATTTAACATGCAAAAAAAAAAAAAAAAAACAACAATTTGAACACAAAAAAAACTATAAGCTGTAATTTTACATTTATACATCAGAAGTGTCCATTTTTAAGAAGTTGAAATAATTAGTTAATAACATCTAAATACCAATTCATACCACTAGAACATCTGCATACTCAAAGCCATAATTCTATGTTTGCCCACAGTCTGTAATGACAACTCTTCCATTCACTAGCCCTTTAGGAGAACCAAAGGATTCAATCTTTTTCACGACATCCATTCCATCTTTCACGAATCCAAATACCACGTGTTTGAAGTCCAAGTGTTCTGCTTTTTTGAGCGTTATGAAGAACTGGGAGTTGTTCGTATCCCTGCCCCTATTTGCCATTGACAGCAAGCCAGGACCAGTATGTTTCACTTCAAAATTCTCATCTTCAAATGCTTCTCCATAAATTGATCGTCCACCTGTTCCATCATGGTTTGTTATATCACCTCCCTTTGGAAAAAAGAACAAGTGGAGAGAATCATTTTACAAGTCCCAAAACATCAACTAATAACGTTCTCTTTCAGTAAGACAGAATTCCATTTGGAAGAACATGAGTAAATCTCAACATTACTTTTCAGGGGCACCACATTTACTTGGCTATAGGGACACCTCAGCTTCATCAGCTTTGATCATGGTAACAAAACATTAGCATGAAGTTTCTCATTTTTACCGAGCGCAGCATTTTACCTTCCTGCTCCACACCCCTACACTACTCTTTCACAGTCTGCTTTCTACATCATTTTGCCCTTCCATCTGGCACCTGCATTATCTCACTGAGGCACAAAGACTCCTGATCACTGCCTGTTCAGGACAGCAGCTACAGATGTTTTTGCCCTTGCACATGATAGCAAGCTTTTGCCTTGTGATTATTTGACTATGTGCACAAAGGTGACCATGTACAATATTTCAAGAAAATTCTGAAAGGCAAGAAATCTGGAGAGAAGCCTGGGCAGAGCAAACGTGGATAACAGCTCACATTTTGTCTGGATGAATATTCTATAGCATGCTTTCAAGAAAGTTACTTACAGCATGTAGAATAACCCAAAACAAGATAACATCCTAAATGAACAAGCAAAGCTTCTTTGCTCCTCAGAAAGGCAAAAATAAAGAAAAGAGCAGTAACAGGCATGCTTCAGATTCAAATAATATCTAATAAAGAGTGGACAGTTTTTTAATTCTGGTGACAAGTTATTTGTATAATACTATAATTCTGAGTTAAAAAGCACATGCTCTGTCTTCAAAGATGTAGTGATATGCAAAAGCGTTAGTACAGCATGTAAGAGGTTGGTCTATTTTATCTGTTTCAAGTCATTATATTTCACATTAAATTAGTTGTGAGAATTAGGAAAAGAAGAGAAGGTATATATGAACAGAGATCAATCTTCCATGCCTTCAGAATTTACGAAAGACTTGCTAATGCTAACATGCAAAACCAGTGCTGTCTGCATGGGTTTCACACACAAAGCAAGCTGATACTCTAAGTGGGAAATCTGAGTAATTTAAGGACAAAGCCTATCATACATGACATGAGATCTACAGCACTCCTTTGGCTGAGATGTGAGTGTCCAAAATAACTGAAGCATTAATTTCACAGTAGGGGTTACGTAAGATACAAAGCGTACTTCCAAAAGTCAATAGAAGCCTGACAAGTAGGTGCTGTTGGCATGTGAGCATACGAAAGTTTCTCTTCTATAGAAAGGAAGGTTGAATGTTAGTTTTGGAAAGCCTTGATTTCCATGCAACTTCTGTCCCTTGTCCATGCTAAGAAATTTCTTATTTGTTTCCCTATTAACATAGCAGCACTAAGAATCTCTAAAGCATTTGGCTTAGGGCAGCACAAGCTGCTTGTGCCATTCCTTATCTCCTAGTTCACACCACTGTTAGCAAAGATGGGTTTCAATCTCTCAATGGTTTGAGAGAATGAATTCTTCACATTAAGCTTACCTGACATATGAAGTCACTAACTATTCTGTGAAACGTGGTATTCTTGAATCCAAAGCCTTTCTCTCCTGTGCACAGGG